ATTCATATAAAGAAAAACAAAAAAATACAAGTATTTTTTCAACTATTTTTATCATATATATTAATATAAACATGTATTTTTATAAAAAATACAAAAAGTGCAATATAAGATATTTATAAATAAATAATATATGTCTATATCTATCTATCTATCTATCTATCTATCTATCTATCTATCTATCTATCTATCTATCTATCTATATGTACATATATATATATATATATATAGATATATATATATATATATAAAATAAAACAAAGAAGTCTAGAAATTTTCTCCTTTTTTTGAATTTTTTATTCTTTTAATTCCATGTAATTTTTAAACAAACAATGAGATGCACTTTCCCAATAATCTAAATAATCTCTTCTCCTAAACTACCCCCCCCACCTCCACACTATCCCTCACTTTCTCCAAAATTATCTCTAATTCTTATTTATCTTCTAAATTATCTCTAATTCCTATTTATCCTCTCCCCTACTTTTTACCTATATATATCTAAAGAAAGTTTGGATTAAAAAAATTCAAGAATTATTTAAATATTCTAACAAAATTATATAATAACTAAAATATTTATTAAAAACACAAAAAGTAATTTTATATTTTTACAAAATATATCACAAAATTATAATAATTTAGATTATGCTTTTCCGAACTATCAATTTAAATGTTTTTCAAATATTTAATAATATGTAATAGCTTTAAATAAATAAAATTCAAATATTAAAGAATTTTAAATATTTTATAGATTATATAAATATTTAAATAACTAAATATTTATCATAACTAGATTTTAAATAGTTAAAATAACAAAATTATGTAATAAATTTAAAAGATTTCTTCAAAGTAGAAAAAAAATTATAACATAATATTGAAACTAATAGTAATTTAATATATTACAAAATTAATAATGAAACTATGTAATAATAGTATATATTATGCTTTTATGGATAATTAAATTCAATAAATAATTAATATTTAAAATTTAAATATTTTACATATTATTTAAGTAGTTAAATAACTAAATTTTTTAAATAACAAAATATTTATCATAACTAGATTTTAAATATTTAAAATAAAGAAATTATGTAATAAATTTAAAAAATATCTTGAAAAGTCGAAAAATAATTATAATATAATATTGAAAATAATAATAATTTAATATTTTTACATAATACTATAAATAACTAATTTCACTTATATCAAGTAATAATTCAAGAAAATAACTTTCAAAAAAATTAATATTTATTAATAATAATTTTAAACTCTTAACCTGTATTTATTATATAATTATATATACAAAAATTAATATTTGTTGTATTTTAGTAATTATTTATTACTTTTGTGATAAATGTATTTTCAATTATTATGTATAAATTTATTTTGTTTTTTATTTAATAGAAAACGTTTAATAATTATTGGAGATTAAACTACTACTATTGAAATTTTTAAATTTAATTTATTGTATTTTTGTTCTAACTTATTGATTAATATTTATTAGAGATTAAACTATTATTTAAGATTATACTATTTATTGACTAAGTTAACATATTTTTACTACTTATTGTATTTTTGTAATTATTGTATTTTTTTCATTATTAATATATTTTCAATAAATTGTGTATTTTCGCTATAAATTTTTAATAACTATTGGAGATTAAACTATTGTTATTTATTAGAGATGGGACTATTAATTTAGCTGAAATTATGACTGTTCATGAGTTGGTTCAGTTTGGTCGTAGGCTATTCTGCCAACCAAATTGACTTTGTCAAGTTGGGGAGTTGGTCAGCTGAAACCAACTGACCTTTTGTAAATACCGACCCACTCAGGTTGTGTCGGTTTGGGTCGGTTTTTTGGTTTGGTCAATCAGTTAAAAAAATTTAAACTTAAAAATTAAATTAAATTTTAAAAATTATAGTGCAATTGTTAAAAAATAAATTTAAAAATTAGATATATGATATAAAACATTTTAGACTAAGAAATATGAGAAATATCCCATTTTTTCATATTAAAATTATATTTAAAATATAAAATATTAATATATATCCATGGTTAGGTCATTCAATTTTGGTCGGTTTACAAATAGCCAAAGTGAAACTAATCCAACTTGGTTGAATTGGGAAATTTTTGAACCAAAGCCGACCTAAAATACTAGAAAATTGACCAACTTAAGTCGAGTTGATTGGATTAGTCGATTTCATCAGTTTGATGAATAAACCTAACTGAAATTAATTATTGTTATTTTGTATTATAACAAATTATTAAAAGTAGTATATAAAATTTTAATAATTATTAATTATTTAAAAAGTTGAAAATATAAAACAATTGTACCCTAATGTGTTTCTATTAGGGTCATTTACTAGAACATACCTTATAGTTTTACATATTTACTTAAACATCTCATATATTTTGCAACTTATTTACTTAATCAACTTTTCATTAAGAAGTGTTTGTTTTGCCATTAGGCTCATGATTTTTTATTCCAAAAATACCATTAACACTTTTTTTTTTGTACAGAAAACAAAATTAACCAAATAAAGCCAATAGAGAGGTTGCCATGTCTTATTAAGGGCAAAAATGGTATTTTCATTTTTATTTTCTTTTGACTAAATTTATTTAAATGAACATTAAGTTCAACACTATCATTTTCCACTGTCATGTAATGGAAGATTGGTTAAATCCATTGCAAATTATAAGTAGTGTTTTAGTAAAATGCTAACCATAGGGTAGAATTTTAGTAAATCCATGAAACTATAAGGGGTATTTTAGTAAATGGCAATTTCTATTATTTAGCTTTCGCTTAATAAATCCCGTGCATCACACGGGTCCCCACTAGTATCTATATATAGGTTGGATTAGATAAGATTCTTTCGGATTGCATATATGTGATCCAAATCTTATCTAATTCCAACCAAATCCTATTATCCGATCCGATTTGAAAATATGACAAGGGTTATCCGAATCCAATAAAAATATGATTACATTGGATGATCTACTCCATTTGCACCCCCAATTTATAAAACATGTGTTTTTTTTTCGCTTCGTGGGGCTACACAACAGGGGGTAGCCATCCCCTTTCCCTTAACCCCCCAACCCCTGGTGGCAGCGAGATTTGATCCCAGGTCTCTACTCCGACGAGTCAGAGAACCTACCAACTAAGCCACCATTAGTTGGTTAAAACATGTGTTTTTTAATCAAAATGATCTTATACCTTATCAATTAAATTTTTTTGATAAGTTATATGTTATCAATTAAATTTACTCTTTTAGACCTCAAATATAACATAGTGGTTTGGAAGAGGGGTGCAACTTTTTTGAGTTTGGATTGGGATTTTATCAAAATTTCAATGGGCCCAGCCTGAAATCCGAGCTTGAAATAGTGTAAATTATTAATTTTAGCCAACCCAACTTGCACCCTTAATTTGGTACAACAAAAATCGATCCCAATTCAACAAAAGTTAGATCTAGCATCGATATAATCAGTTTAGACGGTTCGGTTCTATTGGATAAGCTCGACCCATTAACAACACTACTTCAAGGAGACAAAAAAAGAAAAAGAGAGTCATTGGAGTTTGGACTTAGGTGCGGTTTGATTGCACTTTTTAGAGGCCTGAATCTGAAAATGCTACTTTTCAAACCTCACCCCTTGTTTGGTTGTACCTCTTAAACTGGGTCTAAAACTAATTTTCAAATCTAAAAATCACAAACCTTGGGCTGGCTCTTAATGCGTTCAGATGTGTATCAGAGCCAACCTAATGTCCAAAATATCCTTACAATTTTTCGTAAAATGACCTGAGTTACCCTTGATACCCCAAACCCAAAAAACCAAAACATTCAACCTCTCTCTCTCCCCCTCTTTCTCTCTCTCTCTCTCGATCTCTCTCTGCTATGTCTTCTTGCCACCACCGCTACAAATTGCAGCAGCGTCTCTCTCTCTCGCTCGCTCTCGCTCTTCGCCCTGTATTCCCGCCACTGATGCTGCAATCTCTCTCCCCCTATCTTCTCTCTCTCTCTCTCTCTCTCTTCGCCCCCATATTCCCGCCACCGTCGCTACAACTTGCAGCGGCGGTTTCCTCTCCCCATGTCTTCTCTCGCTCTTGCTCTCTCTCTCTCTTTCTTTCTCTCTCTCGCTCTCGCTCTTGCTCTCGCTTTCTCTCTCTATCTCTCTTGCTCTCTCTCTTTGCCCCCTGTATTCCTGCCACCGCCGTTGCAACTTGTAGCGGTGACTCTCTCCCCTCCCATCTTCTCTCGCTCTCCCTCTCTGTCTCTCTCCCCTTCCCTGTCGTCTCTCGCTTGCTCGCTCTCTCTCTTTCTCTCTCATCTGTATTCCCACCACTGCCACCATCGCTGTCTTCTCTCTCTCTCCCCCTAGCGGCAACTCTCTCTCTCCCCCTGTCTTCTCTCTCTCTCTCTCTCTCTCTCCCTCTCTCCCCCTCTCTCTCTCTCCCTCCCTCCCTCTCTCTCTCTCCCTCCTCTGTCTTCCCACCACCGCCACTACCGCTACAACAAGCAATAGTGGTGGTTTGGTACTTCAGTGAATAATAATAATATTTTTATTAATTATTTTAATATTTTTTTATTAAATTTACTTGTGTTATTTATTAATTATTAATTATTTTTATTAAGTAATAATTTTTAATTATTTCATTAAATTTTAAAAATTATTTTAAAATTTATCTGTGTAAATTATTAATTAGTAAATATTAATTATTTTAATATTTTTATAATCATTATTTATTTTTTTAATTTTAATTGTTTCATTTATTAATTTATTATTTTTTATTTATATTGTTTCAATATTATTTTGAGGTTGAAAATTATTTTTTATGAGATAATGTAAATTGAATTCAACATTTTTCGGATCTGAATTTTTAGATTTATCAAACAGCCACGTTAGTTTGGAACGGGAGAAAAAAATTTTGTCTTTTTCCTCCATTCCCCTTTTCCAAACAAACATGATCCTTTTATTTATGAGTCGTTTCGCGCGAATGGAATGCAAATACGCAGTGGCCCTATCCATTTCCATTTTTCCACGCTTGTCTTTAAGCGTATTGCTCAGGACCGACTAACCTAGCTAGAAGTCGAAAAGTACGCTAACGTGCGCACCTCCCGGGTTTCGGCAGATCCATTAACGAAACCAGGGGAGAGCTCTAGCACACAGGTGCGGCCTTTCTTAACCTTTCCCTGTTGTTAATTGTTAATACAATACAATCGAATAAAACTCTAGGGTTTCCCCATTTTTATTTTTCTATTAGTTTGTTCACTCTTGTATGCTGCAGCGAAACAGAAACCCTCGAGAGTGCTTGCGTGGTGAGTTAATTGATTGAGAAGATTTTTTTCCTGATTTTTTTAAGGATTTATGTATCCCTGGAGCGATGAATGCTGAGAATCCGGTTCACCTTTGATGGTTATTAATTGTGATTTTCTATGGTTGAATAACAAAAACTATATGAAAGATGAGGGTTGTTGGCCGGTTAAGGGAGAGATGGAAAGTGAAGTTTTGGGTTCTGAATCGGATGAAGGGTTGCATGCTGGTCTGGGCATTGATGGTGAGTTGAGCTTAGAAGGGAAATCGTTGTGTTTGAAACCTAGGAGGGCAGGTGATGTGAAGATGGATAGAAAAGAGAAGAAGTCGAGTTCTAAGAGAAGATCGAAGCTGATTGAAGTTCAAGCCGATTTGGACGATGATGAACCTATAGGGTCTCTGTTCAAGTTGAAGAGGCTTCGGAACCCTAAGAAAGCTAACTCTGGATTAGATGGTGTCAAGGTCGAAAAAGTACAGATTGAAAAGGCTAAAGCTAGGGCAGATAATTCCGTAGTTGAGGATGAGGATTCGGGTGGGATGGATGATACCTTAGCGAATTTTAGGAAGAAGTTGAAGGGTCCAAAACCGGGTAAAGATGGTGGATCTGGTAAAGTCAAGGTAAAGGATTATGCTTTTACTGTGGAAAGACCATTAGGTCGATCTTCAAATAGGCCCTTGAAGGATGGGGCGGTAGTGGGAAAAGTACCTGCAAAGATGGTGGAGAAAATCCTGCCATCTGGTGTTAATGGCTTAGATGTGCCTTTTGATGGGGGCTTAGAGGATAGGCCAAAAGGTCCAGGTAAGAGATCTAAGTTTGTTTCCACTCCAAAGAAGACTGGGGATTTTGATGGTGGTTTGGATGGAGCTGTTGCTTGGAAATCTCAAGGGACTTGTTCACAGAAAAAGACGAGGGTGTTAAGGTCTGGGGAAATTTCTAATCATTCTTCTGATGAAAATTTAGAAGTTTCTCTATCTGCATTTGCTCGGAAGTCACAGCCTGGTTCAATTACAAAGTTTCGTTCTTCATCTTTACGGAAACAGAGAAGGAGCACATCAGCTACTCCTGATGGGTTGAGCCAGAGTTTTGAGACTTTAGAGGGAGTTCCATCTGCTTCTAATTATTCTGCTTCTGTTTCAAAAATGGGTTGTGAAAACTTAAAACCTGATATTGGGATGGAAGTGATGCATGGCGGGAGCTTGACATCAGAACCTGCTGAAAAGAGTACAGTGGTGTCTCACAAATCTAATGGTTGTGTATTTGAATCTTCTGAACGGATTCAAGACAATTCTTTATCTAACCTGGTTCAGCAGCATGCTTCTGTTCCAGAGGTTAAAGGTAAGATTGTGACTTCTAATGATGGTGGCTGCAGTAAGTTATCAGAAAGAATCCTAGAAGATCAAGTATCCATTTACTCACTTCAAAAGTCTCATATTGGTTCTGTAGCGGATGTGGAAGAGAAGTTTCCAGCAGTCCCTGATATTCATTTTGAAAGACAGACCAAAGGGATTCCTGAGGAGCTGCAAGTGAACTGTAGTTTGGACTCACTTTGTGATGAGGTTTCTGAGAACTTGCTAACTGGCCATGATCACCATTCTATTTGTGCTTCCATTCACACAGTTACACCAGAAATGCAGGGATTCAAGCATGGGATAAAGCGGTGTTCAGATTTGCAGCAAGAAATTTCTGAAACACCAATTTCTTATTCAACAGAAGAGGTTCATATTACTAATGATGGGTCCAGTAGGCTTCCTGTTAAAATTCCAGAAGATCTTCCATTAACCATTATTCCAAGTCATGGTGAAATGAGCCCTAAATCAAATGTTGCTTTTGATGAAACTTGTGATGCCCAAAAATCAACCAGATCTGCTGCACTGGATGGTGCATTAGCTCAATTAACTTCTAATGTTTCAGAACTTGAAACGTGTAATTTAACTGCAATCCAAAAACCTTCCTATGAATCTTTTCTTATACCGATGAAAGAGTTAAACAGAACATGTGAAGAAAGATCAAAAGGCAACGTGGTCTGCCATAGTGATTGTTTGACTGAACCTTCTGAGAATACTGTCAAACAGTTTCAAAGTCATTTTGAGAACAAGGAGACTGCGATACATGATGAGCTGGTACAGCCCTTTGGCACAATTTTGGAGGATCACATGGTATCTCCAGCACAAAAATGCCCTGTTCCAGTGAAGATGGATGAAGCCTTAAAACATGAAGAGGACCATGGTAGATATTCTGATAGACTTTTAAAGGATTTTGAACTTGCTGGACTTGGGCCATCATCTTCTGCTTTTGGTTCAACAAAGAAAGAAGAAACTTGCAGTCACAATGATGCTTCGGATCAAGCTCCTGAGGTTCCTATTGAAGGGTGGCATGATGCTTTGGTACCTAAGAAAGTAGAAGAAACCTCTCCATTTTCTGATCGAATTATGGACTTAACGGTCTCTATTGAAAAGAAAGTTCAACCATTTTGTGATGCCTTAAAAGAGACTGCTGTTCAAAACCAAGATCTACTTTCTGTTAAGGAAGAAGACAAGGGAGACTATTCTCTGTGTGTAACCACGAATCCAGAGGAAAGTTATACAGAAGATGCAGAAACAACATTTGATCTTGAAAACAAGGATAATAAACTATCAATGACACTGCGGTCTATGCGTAAGGTTAAAAAGCGTAGGCATGGTGATATGGCTTATGAAGGGGATGCTGATTGGGAGGTTCTGATGCGTGAGAAAAGTTTTCTGGAAAGTAATCATGTTCTTGATAGACTCAGGCCTTCTAAAATGAAAGACAAGGCAGCAGCAGTAGCAGCTGGGCTGAAGGCTCGTGCAGCAGGTCCAGTTGAGAAAATTAAATTCAAAGAGGTTTTAAAACGCAAAGGTGGAATTCAAGAATACCTAGAATGCAGGTTTGTTGTCACTACTTTGAAACCTTGGCCATTTTTCGGGTGGGGAATGTTATGATCATAAACTCATTTCCTTTGTTTTGTTTATTACATTGTTTTGCAGCTTTTGATTTTTATATAACCTCCAATTTCTGTTTATTAAGAAAATTACCTCTTTAATCCTCACAGGTTTGCTTCTTTATTGATATCAACCTAACAATTTGTGGGATATGCCATTCACTAATTGAAATTTTTAGTAATGACATGGTTTTATCATTTATGCAAAATTTCATTTAATGTTGTATCTTTGGTCAGGCTGTTTTATTACCTTCAATTGGATGAATTTCTGGGGTTGTATAATTCATCCCTTATTCAGTAAAACACAAAAAGGTGTCAGATTAACTCATTTGTATTATGTCATCTTATGCTGATCTCATCCATGATGATGGATGGAACTTCTTAAAGGAAAGTAATTTTAACTTGTATGTGTTCTAGAATTCTAGTGCTGGTCAGAGTCTATGTTAAGTTCTTGACATACCAATTCAGAAATCAGAATATTTAAGTTGATACTGAACCATGGTAACATAAACAGCAAACATTTCATTATGGTCAAAGTGCATATTAATGGAGATGATGGCTTGCCAAGCCCCATGATATTTATTACTACATCTTTCACTGTTTCACCAGGTCACATGATTAGTTTTGCTGATTTATTTGCAGTAAAGATCTATTATCTAGAAGAAGATTAACAAGTTCGCAGGTTTTATCCTTTATGGGCTCATCAGGTTCTTCATTGAACTTTTGTTGCCATTTCAGAAGCTACAGAAGATAACCTTTGATCTATTAATTTTGAATAAATAAGTGACTAGTCCTTTATGACATCATGCTCTGTTTGAGGGAATTATGAAACATAAAGTACTTTGCTTCTCCACAAACTTGAAAATTTCTCTTTTTTCATTATCATGCTCTACTAGCATGTACAGACATATAAGGTTTTACGTCAAATATGTTAACTGGTTATGGAAAATACATGGTATGGAAAAAGTTTTTGTCATGGTATTTTGATTAGGAATTGAAAGTATATTGGATAACAGTGACATAGAAAAAGTGGAATATTGATAGTCTCATCAAAAGGTAAGAAGGTTTCTTAGTAAGTTTCCCCTGATTATTTCATTTGCAGTTTGACATGTTGTCTCCATAATACAATAGTCAGTATGGTCCTATAATTCTTTGATCATTAGGAGTGACTAACTGGTTTTGAGATGAATTAGCTCTAATAGCACATTAGACACAGGGAATAATCATCCATATTTACTTATTGAAAAGAAAAAAAAAATCATCCATATTTCCAGTAGTTGCTTCCAGGAAATTTTAATTATATGCAGTGGTAATTTGCTAGGGGCCATTACTTGGTGTAATGGTAAAATCTCAGGTTGTCATGCATGAAAATGTGGGTTTGAGTCTGAGAATGACCACTTTGTGAAAAATAAAAAAGCAAAAGTTTAGGACCATACCCAGTTTATCCCTCCCAAGATGCCAGATAACTGGGGCTAATATTGGGTAATGGCCCCTCTTTTACTGGTATTTTGCTGATTATATTGTTTAACTTGGGTATGCTTAGATCTTATGTTGAATGCTGCAATAAGTTGGTAAACATTCAATCATCAACTTTTCTGTATATTCAGCGTGTGACTTCTAATGCTTGTTGGTTTTTATGCTTCATTGAGCTTAATCTTGTACTGAGAATTAAAAGAGCAGATATTCAGGAAATATGGATGGATCTAATCTTTATCCTTAGAAGTTTTTGTTGGCTTGATGGTTTGGAGACTAGCAAATTAATGTAAATTTATGTGGTTTCTGCTGCAATGTAGGAATCTAATCTTAGGCCTTTGGAACAAGGACATGACCCGTATTTTGCCTCTCATAGACTGTGGAGTTGCTGATGCTCCTACTGAGTGTGAAACACCACGTGCCTCTCTTATCAGGAAGATTTACGAGTTTCTTGACCAAAGTGTAAGTTTTTAATTTATAAGCTTCATCAGTACTAATTCTGTTGTTTGTATTGTTGTTACAATAATAATTATTGCTATTTTTTCCTAGTAAATATTTGATGCTGTAGTCTGGTCCCTTTCTCATGTCAAATTAGCTTCTCAGTTCCACCATATGGTTGAACCTGTTATTTCTGTGGGAGAAGTGAGTGTTTTGTAGTTTTTCTATTTTAAATTCTTAATTCCAACTATTAACATATTTTCAACAGGGCTATATCAATGTAGGCATTGCTTTGGAAAAGGATAAAACAGAAGCCTCTGCTAATGCTCATTATAAAATGAAGGAAAAGAAAGCCAAGGAAGATTGTGGGACCTGGGATGTTGATTCAGAGGATGGAGTTGCCTTCATTGTAGGTCAGGCTAAGAGTTCTGAAAATCTCACAGAGGCAAAGAATGATCTTTGCTTGGATGGTGGAGAACTGATTGCAGAAGCCACTCAAGGCAAGAAGCTGCTTGTGCCGATTACAGGATCCAAATTATCCACTCTGATAGAATCAGAAGAATTCAGGGTTGATAATGACCGGGCTAATATTTGTGTGGATGCAAAACTACCAGCCAATTTAGATGCTTGCAGTGGTGCTCCATCTAGCAAGATCCTAGATGAATGTGATTCTACCTTGAATCCGGAGCATATAGAGGACTCCCACAGGGTTCAATCTGCTCCAGTCAATATTGTGGAGGGGAACAATAATGAACCATGTGACTCAGAAATCCATAAGAAAATCATTGTTGTTGGTGCTGGACCAGCTGGTTTAACAGCAGCTCGCCATTTACAACGCCAGGGTTTTTCTGTGACAGTGCTTGAGGCTAGGAGTAGGATAGGTGGTCGTGTCTATACAGATCATTCGTCCCTTTCAGTTCCTGTGGATCTTGGGGCTAGCATAATTACAGGTGTTGAGGCTGATGTGGCAACTGAAAGAAGACCTGATCCATCTTCTTTGATTTGTGCTCAGTTAGGCCTAGAATTGACTGTGCTGAACAGTGATTGCCCTCTTTATGATATTGTAACAGGCCAGAAAGTGCCCACAGACTTGGATGAAGCTCTTGAAGCAGAGTACAATAGCTTACTGGATGACATGCCAGTTCTTATTGCACATCAGGGTGAACGGGCTATGAGAACGTCGCTGGAGGATGGATTAGAATATGCCCTGAAGAGGCGTCGCATGTCTCAGTCACTAACTGATGCTGAGGACTTTGCATCCTACACTCATGTGAATTCTCACGCTGATGCTGGAACAGCTGGTGTTGGAGACAGAGATCCCAATAAGACCAGTCCTGAAGAGGATATCCTGAGTCCTCTTGAGAGAAGAGTAATGAATTGGCACTTTGCCCATTTAGAGTATGGTTGTGCTGCTTTGCTGAAGGCAGTCTCTCTCCCTTACTGGAATCAGGACGATATTTATGGAGGATTTGGAGGGGCACACTGCATGATTAAAGGGGGGTACAGTGCTGTAGTTGAGTCTTTAGGAAAAGGTCTTAATATTCACTTGAACCATGTAGTGACGGAGATTTTGTATGGTATAAAGGACTGTGGAGAAGCTGATGAATATCAGAGCAAGGTGAAGGTTTCCACGTCAAATGGTAGCGAGTTTATTGGAGATGCAGTTCTGATCACGGTACCCCTGGGTTGCTTAAAAGCAGAGACCATAAAATTTTCCCCAGTACTACCAGATTGGAAACGTTCCTCTATCCAACGACTGGGATTTGGAGTTCTGAATAAGGTAGTTTTGGAATTTCCAGAAGTGTTCTGGGATGACAGTGTGGATTATTTTGGAGTAACGGCAGAGGAAACAGAGAGGAGGGGGCAATACTTTATGTTCTGGAACATTAAGAAAACAGTTGGAGCTCCTGTTCTTATAGCCCTTGTTGTTGGTAAAGCAGCATTAGATGATCAAAATATGTGCCCATCTGATCATGTGAACCATGCTGTAATGGTTCTTCGTAAACTTTTTGGAGAGGCTTCAGTACCTGATCCAGTTGCATCTGTTGTTACAAATTGGGACAGGGATCCCTTCAGCCGCGGTGCTTATTCCTATGTTGCTGTTGGGGCATCAGGGGAGGATTATGATATCTTGGGGCGATCTGTTGAGAACTGTTTATTTTTTGCTGGTGAAGCTACCTGCAAGGAGCACCCAGACACCGTTGGTGGAGCAATGATGAGTGGCCTTCGGGAGGCAGTACGCATTATTGACATATTCAGAACTGGAAATGATTATACTGCAGAAGTGGAAGCAATGGAGGCTGCTCAGAGGCAGTCGGACAGTGAAAGAAATGAAGTTAGGGACATACTGAAGAGACTTGATGCAGTTGAGCCCTCCAACGCCCTATACAAAAGCTCCTTGGATGGGGCCCCTATGTTGACCACGGAGGGATTATTGAGGGACATGTTCTCTAATGCAAAGACTACTGCAGGACGTTTATACCTGGCTAAAGAATTGCTGAAACTTCCTGTTGAGGCTCTGAAGTCCTTTGCTGGGACCAAGGAAGGACTTGGCACACTCAACTCATGGATACTGGTACTGTTTATGTTTGATATTAATGTTTTTCTTATCTTTATTTTGAATATGGTTCTACCATTGGGTATTCTTGTTCATCTTTTCCTTTTTGTTTTCCTGTCTCTATGCCTTGAAGGTCATAAGTTACAGACCTGCATGGGGCATTCTTGAATATGAATTACTTATATTGTGTCTCTCAGGGGTTTCCCCCTTATTTTGTACTTTCTAGTAAAGATCCGTTTAATTGTATTCTTCCATTTCTAACAGGATTCAATGGGAAAGGATGGGACTCAACTGTTGCGCCACTGTGTTCGCCTGCTTATGCTTGTCTCTACTGACCTGCTTGCTATCCGTCTTTCAGGTATGTATTTCCTTCTGTTGGCTTAGTTTTACTAGAGACAGAGATGTCCGACAATTCCTTGTTTTTTAGGCTCCGTTTTGGAAGGTGCAAATACAATTGTGTACAGTGCAAACCTTGTATTTTGTATTTCTAAACCTTGTATTTGCACTGTACGTATTTGTATTTGTTCTCTTCCCACTTTAAGAACGTATTTGCATCTTTATCTTTTCTGTGTTTCACTTATGTTTCATATTCATTGTCAATTAACTGTTTACTTTCCAAATTGACGTAATAACAATAATATTGACTGAAGAATGTTATACATGCTGTATTTTTCTGGTCAATAACCGTGAATTTCATTAATTTTGAAAAAAAAAAGATACAGTCATGACAAGGTGTAGCAGTCATTGGGAGACAATCTTATCTCTTCCCAAATATCCCTTCTTAACATGTTGTATTAAGGTTTTTCTTTTGTGATTCTTATTGTTTGGTTTAGGTATAGGAAGGACCATGAAAGAGAAGGTGTGTGTGCATACTAGCCGTGATATTCGTGCTATAGCAAGCCAGCTTGTCAACATGTGGATTGAAGTCTTCCGCAAAGAAAAGGCTTCTAATGGTAGACTGAGGTTATTGAGGCAAACTGCTGTGTCTGATTCATCAAAGGCCAGATCATCAAAAGTTTCAAATTATGGAAAGCCACCTTTACGTGCAACTCATGGTGCATTTGATGGTAAAGGAAATGTGCAAATTCCTTCTGCAGGAAGCTATTCTCCTTCCAATGCAAACAACAAAAAAATGTATGGCAAGCCATCCAAATCAGAAATTATGGATGACTCAAAGTCTGAGGTTAATTCATCAAAATCTCAAGTTGTACAGAGCCTGGATTCTAAGGTGGAGGAAAGCACCATTGCAATGTCTGAGGAAGAAGCTGCAGCCTTTGCTGCAGCAGAAGCAGCTCGTGCTGCTGCTCTTGCAGCTGCAGAGGTTTGTCTTTCTTTCTTTCAAACACTTTTTTGTAAATGGTAATATAAATCATTCCTAACTTGTATATTTCTTGATGTATAGCTCCTTGATGTATATGGGCTCAGAAATTTTAATATTTTAGAAATACAACACGGTTTCTTCAAAAATATTTATTGGTATGGAGTATCAGGATAAAAACTAGTAACTTTTTTTTTTTTTTAAAAAGAGCTAAATGCTTATTACTTGTTCTGATATTATAATTGTAGTATGTAGGTGTTACCAAGAATGCATTCTAAATGGAATAATGTTCTCTCTTGCCTTGTTTGTGTTTTCCTAATCTGATTTTCTTGTTAGTGGTTGGATTTATATTTATTTGATGCTCATCTTTACCTGCAGGCTTATGCATCTTCTGAAGCAGAGTGCAGTACATTACGGGAGCTTCCAAAGATACCCTCCTTTCACAAGTTTGCTAGACGGGAGCAATATGCTCAGATGGATGATTCTGATCTTAGAAGAAGGAAGTGGTCAGGGGGTGTTTTGGGAAGGCAAGATTGTATATCAGAAATAGACTCCAGGAATTGCAGGGTTAGGAATTGGTCGGTTGATTTCTCTGCCACTTGTGTGAATCTTGAAAATTCGAGAATGTCAGGTGACAACTACACAAGACAAAGTTACTCAAATGAAATACCATACCAATACCAATTGAATCTCAGAGAGCATTCAGGTGAAAGTGCAGCTATAGATAGTAGCTTTATGAAAGCATGGGTGGATACTGCTGGTAGTGAAGGGGGGGTGAAGGACTATCATGCTATAGAGAGATGGCAATCTCAGGCAGCGGCAGCAGCAGCAGATTCTGAGTTCTTCCATCCAACTGTACATGTTAGGGATGAGGAGGATTCAAACACATCATCAAAACCACTCTCTTGGAAGCATGAAAGTTGGGCTAAAGAAGCATCTGTTTCAAAGGTTGTAGGAAACAAAGTAATGGGGGAACACCAACCAAGAGGAGCTGAACGTATTAAACAAGCTATTGTGGATTATGTGGCAACATTGCTCATGCCTCTGTATAAAGCCAGGAAAATTGATAAGGAAGGGTATAAATCAATAATGAAGAAAAGTGCAACCAAAGTAAGCTTTTCTTTCTGTTTGCATCATCCATTGCTTGTGTCATCAGTAGGAATTTCCTTCTGGTTTCCAGTGGTTGGCATTATTGTGATTTCTTTTTGACAAAGGTTATTATATTGGCTATTGTTTCACTGTTTTCCTGGTTTGATTTTGTTAGGTCATGGAGCAGACGACAGATGCAGAGAAAGCCATGGCTGTTTCTGTGTTTCTCGATTTTAAACGGAAGAATAAGGTTGGTCCTCAATCTGTTATATGATTTTTCCTCCAATTTTTATTTAACCATTCATTTTTAGTACTCTTTCTCAGTAGTATTTTATACTTGTATTATACAATTACATGGTATCTCTTTCTATCTAATTTGTTATTTTGCCCTGATTGAGAATTTTTTTTTTTTTATTTTTTATTTTTTATCAATAACCCTGATTGAGAATGTTGTAAACATGTTCCACTTCTGAACTTGCAGATTCGTTCTTTTGTGGACAAGTTGATTGAGAGGCATATGGCAATGAATCCAGCTGTTAAATCTTGATGTTCGTGAAGATTAGTTGGGCTCTTTGCACTCTTTTTCTTCAGGCATACAAAAGTGGGTTCTGTGATATTTTCTCCCACTATTTGTGGCATTTGTTGGAATGGTGGGCCCTCGGGATGCAAACATGGACCATTTGCTTTAAGTGCTTTGTGCAAAGTGCAAATGCCTGGCAGTGATCCAACAGTGCATTAGAAGCCAAGGACAGGAGCAAGTTGCTTCTGTTTGGATCATCCATGCATTCGGGCAGCACTATGGCTCCTTTGGTGTTGGTGAATGCTCAAGACTGGCAGCGACTTGTAAATTTGACCTGAGTTTCAAACTCTAAGAAGAAAGGTTACTGCCAATGGTGATATTTGCATATGCTCCTTGCATTATGAATTTGAAATATCCTCAAATCAAATGCTGCTGCATTGTCCCTCCTGGATGAGGAACATTGATATTACTTCCATTTCAATATGGCATCACATTGCTGGCAACGTTCTTCACCCATTGGAATTTTATTTTCTTGGGTTCAAGATTGAACCTTATTCTTTGTTCAGGGATTCCATATGGATGAATAGTAGAAATTAACCCCTCCCCCTCCCTCCCCCCCACCCCATTTTTTTCTAGATTGATTTTTAATTTATTTTTTTGTACAGATCAAGATTGTTTCTCCCATTAACAAACTTACAAAACCTGTTAACCTATCTCAGCTCATTAAAGAGCCCAAGTTACTTTTTTTGATAAATTAATGGCTGCTAGATGTGAAGGCAGTTTAATACTTAAGCTTTTCCAGTGGTTTTCCTTCTATTTTTGCATAGACAATCAATCATACATTCTGCACCAGCATCTGCATCTGTAAAGTTAATTCTTTATTGTGTAACTGTCTGTATACTGGCAAGAATAATTTCTTATAAGGTGGAAGCGTGTCTATCTGATGCAATATCTCAGGAATATATTTTCTGCACTACAATCCTCAACTTTCATATAAACAAATGGACCATGGTATTGGTTCAAGAGATGCTTGCTTTTCAGAGTTGGTTCCTCAACACATTGACATGTAAGACAAAATTCTTTCCTCTTGAGTAACTAGATTTATTACTTTTGTTCAACACCAACGAAACAAATTCTATGAAATATATTCCGAAGCTCATAATACTTTTTTTAAGTTGAAGTGACTTGAAGGGCTTGATATGTTACATTGCCATGAATTTCATACCACCTAGCCAAGTATGCTGTTTAGAACTTATTTTCAGGAGTTGGTGATTCATTTTGAGGGTTTTGCTTTCTTTTCTTGTGAATGCTTGTCAAGGCACACACTATTCTGGCTACTTATGAAGCAAGAAATGAAGGTTGTGTCTTATACTTGGGTATCATTCTTGTACTTTTACTTGTCAGTTTCTTGTCCTCATTGTTGCTCTTCTTTGGATATGGATGTGTTGTTCTATCATCACTCCCTGATGCATTTATTGAATTTCTTTGGTGCAGGGTCTTTGTGCATCTACATTAATCTGGTAAATCTCTGATTATTGTCATGAGTTCATGTTTTGTGGTCCTATCTGCTGTTGCATTCCATTGTCATGTTTTGCTATTGATATTATTGGTTGATCCAGTGAGCAAAAATGAAGGAACATATGAACTGAAGCGGCATGTATTTTTTGGACAGATTAACATCACCCCCCCTTGTGTCCAGGTCAATCCGGAATTGCTTTGTTGTGCAGCAGTAAGGGCTATCCAAGATATGGTGTGGTGTGGTAATAAACTTCCATTGGTTGTTTGAAAATCATTTGTTGGTGTACTTGCTCTTCACCTGGCTCATGAATTGGTTTATCAGTAAACTACATTACATGACCATCACATAGTTGATTGGTGGGCAAGTATAATTTAAGCTATTATAGCTTGGACTATCACCATGTGGCAATTAACCTCTGTATAACTTACTGGATTCCATTTTACTTTACGTTGTTAACGGTAGGAGCTAAAATGCAATATGTTCATCTGTTGCTTGAATAATCTATCAGTGTCCAAGGCTCTAACTTGTCAACTGAATCTAGATGAGTAGCCACTTTTTTCTTTTAAGTTTGTATTGAAAATGGCACCTTGTGTTTTCAGATTGAAATTCCATCCCATGATGCTGGAAAGAGATAAAAACAAGGCCCTGAGCCCCTGAGCCCCCAGCCTGAGTTGTGCATCTTCCTTTTTGCAACATTACTGCAACTATTATTTTATGAGATCTTGGGCCCTTGCCAACTTTAGAGGACAGGGTTTTTCACAAGGAGATTGCTGAACTGCTAATGTAGCAGGACTAAGGTATGCAATGTGATCTATTAGTCTCATACATTACCTGATTGCCATCTCTTTATATCCTTAGTGTGGTAGAAAAATGGTCTCATTCTGATGCTACTACTCTCACTACTAATCCGATCTATATAAAAATGACTTTCCTAACTTCTGTGATTTTGGGAGTCGGGGTGAGACGAGGAACGTTGATTTCGGTAACCTTTTCATAAGAGAACTGCCTGGTTTATATTGAATGATAAATTACAAGTTCTCCACAAGCTTCTCTTGAGGCTTTCCCTTCTGGTCTTATTATGAGTCAGCATTGCCAGCACATGATTGCTTTTCCAAGTGCCAAACAAGATACATGCCACAATACAGATTTATCCGTGACATGTATGTGATGTGGCAACTTAGGTAGCATGTGAAGGGCCCAGGAGGCCCCTACTTTTGGATTGCTGAAACTAATCTCTTTACTGGTTTATATGTAAATAGTTGTGCCAAAGAAACATACTCAGTGGTTCAACTTAAGCAAATTATCCATTTTATGCTTAATATTGTTTTAAGATAAAAGCCTAAGCTAAAACCATGCAATCATGGCGTTTGGAAAGATCATTAGTCATTACACAGCGGAAGTTCCGTTTTCCAGTTGAAAATCTAGAATGCTCCCACTCCCTTCGGTCTTATAAGTTGAGCATCTTAAAGCAATTTTCGCCCAGGCATTTTATGCTTTGGTGTTAAGTCGCATTAAGGATCCGTTTGGGAAGGCTCGTCTGAAGAGCTGAGTAAGTGGAGATACATGTTGATTGGGCGTTTTAGTAATTTTAAGAAAAACCATCAGATTTTTCAAATTTTAATGTGCCACATCTGAGAAATAACCACGGTGATGCAAGAAATGTCAATTTTTATGATCCGATAACACCATCTCTTGAAAATCCAATACTAATCAAATGGCCTGCCAAACATGATTTAATGGCGTGTGTTTTCCTTTGATAATGGCAAATTAGTGAAAGTGTGAAACTGAGCAGTCAAACGCATCAATGCCAAATAGAACCTAAGCGGCTTAAAAGTTAAAAAGAAATAATAGGTTTAGACTATCTGGAATTTTTACCAAGCAATGAATGCTTATAAGCTTTTTGGATCTCATCTGACAAAGCTTAAACTAGACGACTGGTAATGTGAAGCCCTCCCAAAATTTTCCATATTTTCTGTTACCCTACAACGGAAGTAAGCTGTAAACGGCAGCTGACGTGTAAAAACCTCTTCAGGCCTCCACTATCCCTTTATCGCCATGGGTGTTTGGCTTTGAAAAGCACGAAAAAAAATCAAATTTGGTAGAGATGCAAGTTGGATGGGCATTTAAAGTGATTTGACTTATTATTATAATATGCTTAGAAAATAAATTAGCTATATATAATTTTCATGTATCACATCACCTTAGTGATTCAAGATTATCAAGGTGATTCAAGAATCATCAATTTAATGATTCAAGAAACCCCTCTAATTATTGTAAAATTGATTTTTTTTTTTTTTGAAAAAATAAATTGCCCAATGGGATTTTCTTACCCGATTCCATTTAATTGCTGATGTAGCGTGTGGATGGCACATCAACAAAACCGGACCACTTGTGAAACACTCCAGTCCCAAATTCGTATGGAATTGGTCAATGGGAATGCAGTAGGGCGAATGATGGGCTTGGACAGCCCCCACCCAATTCCGGTTCACCTAAAATCCCATTACATGTTAAAACATTAATATAGACTATTAATTGAAAGTTTGAAACACTTGGATTTCACAAACGAAAATAGTAAATTGATTCAAAGCTAAGGAAAGCAATAGCTTCCCCTCCCCATGGAGCTAAAATTGAGGTAGGATTAGCTGAATGCAGTAGCTGTAGAACTAATAATAAGGCTCCACACCAGTCATAAAATTATATATAGGGCCTGCAACAATTCAACCTCTCCCAGTCGTCCCAGCTAATCTGAATTGCTAGCATGAGACATTATCATTGGTTCTACAGGTTGCTATATAGCTAACAGCTTCAGCTAATCTGAATTGTTAAAATTATAGTAATGAAGGAGTAAATTGCAGTTTAATACCTTGTACTTTTGGGGTAGTGGCAATTACACATCCCTTGGATTTTCATTTGGGACAAAAGGCCCCCTTGAACTTTCAGGTTCCGAGTTTCGACAAAGACCCCTATTTAGCATCTCTGTTGAGTGATAGAAGAAGTTAATTTACCAAAATACCCACTCAAGAAACTTCTCTAAAATGGAAATTGCAACAACAAAAAAAAAAAAACCAAGAAACTTCTACAAAAAACTGGATTGCAACAAACACAAAATGTAATAAATATCAACTAAATTAATAACAAAGAGAAATAAAAAAAAACACTAAATTGAATCTCAACACTTATTTTAGAAAATAGTGGAGATTTAGAAACATTTAACCAGTCACATGAGAATCTTTGTCGCAAATGAAAATTCAGGGGGTAATTGCCACTACCCCCAAAGTATGGACTAAATAGTAGTAATCTGTAATTTACCAAAACAAATGCTCAACACATGGGCCTATGCTATAAAGAGTCTTACTTTATCTCTTCTTAAAAAAAAAAAAAAAGGCTCAACACACCTCCCGTCGGGCCATGGAGCAGGATCTGGAATAAGAAAACTAAGGAATCCAATAAAAGTATAAAACAATCGAGTCCATCACCCATCCTTCTACCGATCATGAATATTTCTTGAAGGACTGTCAATTATGCAAGGAGATTGTTAATTTCTAATCCTCTGTTTTACATATATTCATTTGAGACAGATTGGTCTAGCAAAAGGTGACCCATCTTTGAAACTAACGAAATGGACAAAGAAGCATGCACATATTCGCCAGAAGGAATGAGCTTACCAGATGCTTTTGTCTCTGTCAGTTGTTCCGTTGCTAGAGTTGCAATGCTTTGACAGAACCATGTTCTAGGTTGAGGATTTCTGAAGATGAAGAAGAGAAACCCTTCTGCAGGCTTCTTCGTCTAACCCAAAACTAAAACAAATCTATGATAGAATCATATATGGTCGAATCCGGAACTTGGGAAAATCTATGATGCGGAAAAGATATGGTATTGAAGGAGTTTTGATCAATCAAAACCCACCCATTAATTTTCATAAATAACACCTGATTGGCTATCACATTTAGAATTCCAGTTGATTGGTCGAAAGTTTTTGGGATATCATATTTTTCTCATATCATAGTCGAACCCATAATACTTAATTATTTTAGATATCCACGACTGTTAAGACTGACAATTTACCTCCGTTACTTTTGGGAGTGTAAATTCTGGTTTGCTTTTGTTTCAAATTTTAGTTTATTTCATTTGATTGCAGTATAAATGAATTAAATTAAGACATGAAGTGGAATAAAGTAAAACTCAAAACAAAATTAAATGAGAATTTGCATTTTTTTTTTCATTTGCACTCCCATGTATTTGTATAAGTAAAATTACACTGCAACCAAACACAGCGTAACGCTCAAATCTGGACCGAGCCTGAGGTCAAATCTGATCTTCTCAATTATACTTTGAATCTTGAACCCAGGGACCAAAAATCCAAGTGTAACCCATGTAAATATTTGGGTTGTTCAGTTCAAGCTTGGATTTAATCCACCCAAGTTGCACCTAGGGGTGAGCAAGAAAGACTGAAAAACCGAAAAGCTGAATTGAACAAAAAATTCTGGTTAATTGAACCAATTTCGGTTAATCAATATAAAAAACCGATGGTTAACTAAACTGACTGGTATACATACATAATATATATATATATATATATATATATATATATATATATATATATATATTATATTTTTCACATAT